AGAGGGCCCGATGACCTCGGTTACCTGTATTATTCGCTTGCGACCGGTGGGCCTCGTTGGGGTGACGAGAGGGTTCAACTTATAGAGCTGATCCGTTCGATAGACGACGAGTGGCCCAGTCTCCGTGCGTTTGGGATTGGCTGGACCGTGAGCTCCGAGCAGGCCCCGAGTACGTGACCTGTATCGGGAGACTCTCCTAAGACGACTGGGGTAGCTGGTGGAGTGAGGACGCTGGGCGACCTCTGATACACGACTATCAGTTGGCGGAGTATTACTAGGCTATAGGACAAGCGCCATATCGCGTCGAGGACGAGTTCGACGACGAGGGATGGGAGCGAGAGGACGACGAGGACGCGTGGGAGCCGGATTGGGTTGACCCAGAGAGTGAGGTTGACGAGGAGGAGGACAACACGGAAGACGCGCACTTCCCACGCATAGGAGTACCGATTAAGTCCTAGGCAGATTGTGCGGCGAGGCGAGTGCGAGTTGGGCTAGCGGTGAGATTCGGTGGTAAAGTGAGGGAGTAAGATAGGAGATCCTGCAGGCAGATGGTAGAGGAGATCGAGAGAGTCGACCTACCCTTTGGTGATTTCAGATGGCCTAGACCGCCCAAGATCATAGCTCCCGACTTGGTGGAGCTTGATCTACCGACCAGATGCGTCGCTAAGCCAGGGCTGATTGACCATTGGGGGTCGACTCGGCTGGGGCCAAACGTGCACCTATGTTCATATACCGTTCAGACCTACGAGTCTGATCCGCAGAGGTGGCGGGCGCCCGACACGACGTCCATAGAGGCCGTAGGGCATATTTATTACTCACGAGAGGTGAGCGGCGTCGTCCATATCCAGGGCTTGGTGCATGGGTTCTGGCGGTATGAGAGAGAGGTGAGAGAAATCCTAACGGGCAAGATAGACAGTGCACGAGAGGGGATTGAGGATCTGTATGGGCCTGTCAGGGAGACGAGGACTACGTTTCGCATAGGAGGGTTTGCTTTCCCGACAGTCCGACTGCGCGCCAGGTTCTCGGTCTTTGTAGTGGAGCAGCTTTGGGGCTTGGGGTGCATCGTGGAGAGATATTTCGCAGCTCTAGAGCTCGACGGACTAGCCCGAGGGCAGAGGGACCAGGACTGGATTGCCTACACACAGTTTGTAGGCGGGCCTCTTACTCGGGAGAGGGAGATACAACTCATTGAGTTCTTACGTACTCCAGCGCCTACAGCAGACCCCCACTTCTTTGCCCGGGCCAGCCCTTGGAGTTCTGGCTAGCACTAGATAGGGAGGTCCAGAGACCAGAAGATAGTTTGGAGGGGGTCGGACGACTCTTTAGCGAGACTCCCGGTGATAGGCCTGCTTCCCTCATCACTATCTGGAAGTTGGAGGAGCATTACCAGGGGATATATCCAGATAGAGAGGAGCTCGGCTGGGACGTCGATGATCGAGATTGGGAACATCTCAGCGCCGCAGAGCCTTGGGGACAGGACGAGAGACCGTGGAGAGACGTGCCAGACGCTGGGCAAGACCACCTTAACGTCGATTTAGGCAGACCGGATAGCGACGGTTGGGGGCATCTAGCTCAGGCCGAGGGACATGAGCATATCCCTTGGGGCCGGGTTGTGGATGCAGACGGAGACGAGGACGTGGACGAGGGTATGCCAAACGCGGGAGACGGTTAAGGATAGGGCATATCCGGGCATAGTGTAGAGCGCGGAATAGAGGGGCGTCCGATGATAGACACAAGGAGATAACTTCAGACAAGACAAGAATTGTGGTAAGCACTGATAAGGATGGCGGACAGAGATACACTGAGAGTGACCCTTTCCTCGGGACGAGATAGGATAGGGGGGTGGGAAGAAGAGGCGATGGATGATGTTGCGCGACGAATCAGACTCATGACGGAGCATGCCCTGGAAATATGGAGAGGCCAGAGATACGTCGAGTATACCATCTACTTCCATGGAGCTGACGGGAGAGTGCACAACACCTACTCGACCATACTGAGCCTGAGTGGAAGGGTTGTCTAAGGAGTTAGCAACATCGTGAGATCAAGTGCGTCGAAGGGAGTAGAGTGATACAGATCGAGTGGCGAGAGGGAATGAGGAGTGATTCGAGTGCATGGTGGGCGTATGTCTTATTGCGAGATTCAAGCTCCTACAGGGCGAGGAGATTGACAGAGCCTAGGGAGACCGCGCTCGGGTACGACATACCCCTTCCTTCGCGATTGGAGGATTGCCATAGGGTGGCGCTTGGGTACGTCGGGACGTGGATAGCTGAAGGAGTGTTTCTATGGACGGTGGTTGTAGAAGTAAAGAAACCGGGACGTGGAAGGCAGGTGGAGCTAATAGGACATCTTATCTTTGATCGAGCGCAGGAGGTCGAAATAGGACTGACGTTTGTCCGGGTCGAAAGAAGTCTATGGAGGTACGAGGCGTTGGCCAGAATAGTACTAGAGAGGAAGGCGGGAACGTTAGGTGGAAATAGTCAACCGAGGTTCATCCCGTACAAGGTTGGAGATGGGCGCTTCCGTTGTTCGTGATAGACCAGGTATACAGAGGGATTAGTAGTCTAACACGAGAAGTCAGACATACGCACCTTGCCCTTGGACTGGGGTTGGCACCGAGGTTCAAGGAGATCTACTTTGCCGTCAGTCTATGGTGGATGCGCTTTGACGATGAGGAGTTGAGAGGTCTCATAGACGCGATGTGCTGGGTTGACTGTCTGCGACCGGTCAACTTGGTTGACTACTGCAGGAGGCGTGTGGAGGAGAAGTACGTTGGGATAGAGGACTTGAGGTATTTATTCACGGAGGCAAAGGAATGTCAGGGCGATCATCGGCTGGAGTCGAAGTGAGCAGACAGTTGGTGAGTGAGGGTTTCACTGTCACAGTATTACTAAGAGCACGCATAATCGAGAGTCTGACGGAGGCCGAATGTGTGAGACGAGCTAGAGACTTGGTCGACGAGTATCGACTGGGAGTCCTTGCTTGCGTCACCTTCCAGACGAAGGTGGCTTATGAGGTAATGGTATGGTCAGCAGGCTACTCGCGGTTGGAATGGTACTTCGACGAGACGGTAGTTGAGGCTAGAGCGAGGCTATGAGGATGAACTGGTAAGAGATGCGGACAGAATATGGAAGAGGAGAATGAGGGGGTGAGAAGAGTGAGAAAGCGCATTAAAAAGGCACTGTTGAACCAGGCAAAGGAGTTGGGAAACAAGATAAGGGAGAACGGTTCGTGCCAGGATGAGGGCAAGCTGCGTAGGGTCGAGCTAGCGACGAAGAGTTAGAGAGTCTGTTCCGGCAAGATAGAGAGTTAATCCAGGCGTGGAGATAAGACTTTCTGGAAAGGGTAAAGGCAAAAAACCTATCACACGGAGGAGCCAAGGGAAAGTCCGTAGAGCACGTAACAACACAGGACAAGGTAACGCAGGAGGATAGCAGCAGGGCATGAGCAGAACTGTGCAGTATGCGGCTGACAGGTACTCGTTGCATGTGGTAGGGAGACAGGACGGCCCGTTGGTGTTAGTGATCGCAGAGCTCCAGCTCCATACCGAGCTGTGCATAGTTGAGGAGGCAGAGTGTGTTCGCCGTGCGCTGCGAAAGGCTAGGGGAACACGACTTTGGATTGGAGTGGAAGGAGGACGAAGGATAAAGTACGTACTACGCACGACACCATTCGATGGGCGACCTCTGATGAGGGCGTGGTACGAGACGCCGAGAGAGACTGAGAGTTTAAAGATAAGCGAAGCCAGGGGGGCTGGGGAGCTAGGGAGAGTTGTAGTAGACGGAGCGATACTCAGGGTGTTAGCCGCTCATGACCGATACTGCAGGGAATCAAAAAAGACTTTGAAGGCCATAGAGGATAGTGGAGATGAGGAAGACTTTGAGACGTTCTATGATATATTGGAGTTGTCGGCGATGAGATTACGAGCGGCTATAGCGCTGGCTTTCTTCAGATACTAAACAGATGAGGGAACAAAGATGATAAGCTCTCGGAAAGATAGTGGAGGTCAGTGAGGTCAGAGGGTCGGCTTTAAATGACAGTAGGAGGAGAGTTTCCTCCGTTTGCGGGCTACCCGATTCAGGACGGACTGAATGATCTAGTGAGGAGGACGGAAATAGACGCTCGAGGACTCTTGAGGGGTGCTAGTCGGGAGACATTGGTTAGGGTTGGGACTGCGATCTGCAGCAGGTGTAGAGATTCTGTCACGGGTGTAGTACAGATCAGGAGAGGCGCGACCTTGTTGGCAGATCCCGAAGGAGAGGTTTACATAGACACAAGGATTCTTGGGATAGAAGGTGAGCACGAGGTCCGCGACCGGAACGGAGTGGCGGTAATCAGAGCAGTCGAGAGCTAGGATTGGAGACGAGCGCGAACCGTGAAAAGGAAACAGGTCCGGGTTGCGAGTTCTGTCACAGGTCCGGGCTGCTGCGACTGTCATAGGTCCGGGATGTAACGCCTGGCGTAAGTACCCAACTACAGCTTCCAGTGGCCTTTGGAACCAGACACGATGGGGTCACAACCGACCATGGGCGAAGCAGGTGAAGAGTACAACACATCGCCCAACCCAGCACTGAGGAGTCTGAAGGAACGAATTAGGCAGGAAGCACCGCTGAGATGGGCTGACCTAACCAATGACGGAGAACCCGACGTAATGGGCGAGCCGATCGTGATAGAGCCGGAGGAGACTTTGAAGATTGGGACGTCGAGCGCTCGACGAGAAGCGACGACACGATGCTCCCCCGAGTGTGAACGGAGGGAAACCACGGCGGATAGGCGCAGAGACGACTGAAAAAAGAGTTTACGAGATTCCTATTGGAGGGACAGAGATAGGAATAGAGTACCGCCCCGGCGTGTCTTCGACCCCCAGACGGGGGAGTCACATCTGCTCCCTTACGAGAGCAAGGATCGCTATATTATTACGCACAAGGCCTCTGAGCCTCCTACTTTCASGGGCTATGGTATCACATAATATCTGGAGAAGTGGGAGCTTCACGCCAGCCGGAGTCAGTGGTCGGAGGAAGAGATTATAGAGAACTTCCTATTTAATGTGGATCCAAGTCTCGGCAAGGAAGTTAAGGAAGCCCGACCGAAGGATGGGAAATAGACTACGTATAAGATGAACTTCATTGATCTTTACAAATTAGAAGATAACAAGTACTCCATCAAGGACCTTGAGACTATGACTCAAGATGAGAACGAGAGCGTTCGGGCATTTGGAAAGCGATTCCAGAAGATCTCTAACGTGCGGATGAAGAAGGGGAAGATCTCAGAAGTCGAGCGCTGTACAAACTTCATTGGACACCTGTCCAAAGGTAGACAAAAGAGCATACTTAGAGATCTCCCGCGCGATAAGCTTGACTTCGCTAAAGTGCTAAAGCTCGCGATAAAGGCAGAGGCAGACGACTACAAGGACTTGGTATGGAGGGGAATGAGGAGAAGTGACTTCTCTCTCTGTAAGGAGTATGCCACTGATAGGTGTCCTGATTTCAAGGACTACCCCTGGTCGGAGAAGAATGAAGCCATGACCGAAGAAGTGAAGGAGATAAGGGACATGGTAAAGGGATTGACAAGGCAGGTTACAGAGATTGTGACCAGCACAAGAGCCACGACTTACCGGGACAAACCCGGGGTCCCCTATTCACTTCGCTGGGACCGTAGGAACACCGATTCCTGGAGGAGTGTCGAGGATAAAAATCCTCGAACACTGACTGATTATCGTGCGAGGGAAAGGGAGAGAGACGATGAGCCATGGCGACGTAGGGATGATGAGATAGACCGAGACCGCAGGGCTCGCGAGACATATGGGCCAGCTAGGAGACTGGATGATTACTCGCGTAGCCCTCATTATGAGGCTGATGGGGTTAGAGGCGGCTCTCGAGGCCGGTGGGAGTAAGATCAGGGCCGACGAGACGGATACAGGGACGGCAGATATGAGAGATCGGACCGAGATGGATATAGGGACGACAGATATGAGAGGTCGGATCGAGATGGATACAGGGGTGGCAGATATGAGAGAGGAGATCGAGACGGAGACCGACGAGCTGGCTCACGCGGACGGTATGACCGCAGGGGAATCGCGAGAGAACAGCACGACGATTCGCGGGGGTGGTACGACCGAGGAGATCGACGCGATGAGTCACGTGGGCGATACGATCATGGAGACCGCCGGAATGACTCACGGGGACGATATGAGCAAGGCGGATCAGGAGGAGACCGCCGCAAGGATTCCCGCGGCCGGAATGAGAGAGGGGGATATGGCGCGTCATCTGATCCGTATCCAAAATCCCCTGACCCCAGAGCAGTGAGGGGTTCGACCTCTAGGAGCGCAGACGACAGGCCACCCACTCCCAGGAACTCTTGCGTGTACTGTAGAGGAGATGATCATATCAAGAGAGACTGCCCGGATCTCAAGCGGGCAATAGATGAGGGACTTGTCGTGCTTGATGACCGCAAGGACGTCAAGTGGGCAGATGATCTGGGAGACATATCAATGTTCCCTTCGATGAAGGAGAATGTAGAAACAAGGAGAGTAAAAGCGAGTAAGGGAAAGGAGCCGGTTAGGAGCTGGAGTATCAACATAACTTTCGAAGGAGATATGGCAACCACACCCATAAGAGTGGCTGCTACCAAGTCGGCGAGGGGGTCTACATCGAGGAAGACCGATACGGATTACGTGATGACAGAGAAGAACGGACAGCGGATCGATGGAGAGGAGGTTATTCTTTCACCGCGAAAAGCGGGAAGTGAAGAAGTTCTTGATGAAGAGTTTGCTGGATGATATTGACACGGTCGAGCCACTGAGACGGGCCCTTCGGCAGCCCATGCAGTGCTCTATTCTGGAATATCTGGCAGCATCCAAGCCGGCACGCGACGAGTTACAGATGATCACGCGCAAGACTCACATACCTCTATCGGAGGAGGTTCAGGTGGCCCCTAAGGCGGATGCTCCTACTGTAGCAGTATCAGAGGTGACAGCTAGAGCAGATCGCATGGCGACAGTTCTTATTGATGGGATGAAAGGTGTGCCTCAAGACAAGTTTTACATACTTGGAAGTGGGACCGTGGAGGCGATCCTAAACGACGGAGCGGTTCTATATACTGTGATCGATAACGACAGTGAGGCTGTCATTATAGACGAGGATGTGGCAGAGTAAGTTGGACTGGGACTCGATAGGTCATACCTATTCGAGATAGAGACGGCTGACGGGAGAAAGCAACAGATCACAGGGGTTTGTCACAAGGAAGCCATAGAGGTCCAAGGGGTACGAGTGACCCTGCCAGTCTTTGCAGTCAAGAACTGCAGCTCTGACCTGCTCTCTGTCCATTAAGAAGCTAGATAGGGCGCGGGTTATGATTGAGACGGTGGAGCTTCGAGACCTGAGGAACAGAGCAGCTCTCGCTGTGGATGCGGGGCCCAGTGATCGGATTAAGACATTACCTATCTCCGACCGCGCGGTGCGGTTTCGCGAGAAGAAGTATGGACCTCTGCTCATAGAAGGAGAAGGCCGGATTGTAGAAGTTGAAGATTTAGGGAGTCGACTGATAGTGGACGGCAACTCGTATCCAAACGAGGCAGATGAGGAGTTTGGCGGCGTGGTATCTGTGTCTTTTTTAAGGGCATGGCCCCCTATGGGGGGCTACCCAAGCGACACAAGCGAGTAGCTTAGAAAGTTAAGCCAGCGGCGGTGGGCCGCGAGCGATCTGCACTGGAAGGGATATCGGAACAAGAGATCGCAAAGGAAATCAAAGAAAGAAAGAAAAAGGAGCCGCAACGCCTAACTGAAGAGAGGATAGCAGGGATGGACATCGGAGATGGAAATCTGACCCCACAGGAGCGGGAACGTGTGATAGAAATCTTAAAGACATGCGATAAGCCTATAGCTTTCAGCGACGCAGAGCGCGGTAGGGTTGACCCTCGTTACGCCAAACCAGCAAGGATTTACACGATTCCACACGTTCCATGGAATGACGCAGGATGGAAATACCCCCAGAAGGAGAAGGAAGAGGTTATCGCTTTCCTAAAAGAAAAGATGGCTTCTCATGTTGCAGAGCCATCTGACAGCGCTTATGTTAATCGATGGTTCTTCCTACGAAAACCGAATGGCAAGATCCGGTGGATCCAAGACCTTCAGAAGGTCAACGTGGTGGCGATTCGAGACGTAGGCTCTGTGCCTCACGCTGACTTACTGGCTGAAGGCGCCGCGGGCAGGTCGATTTATTCGGTCTGTGATCTGTTCTCAAGCTATGATGAGGTACCGCTTGATTCCTGGGATAGGCACCTCACGGCTATGCACACGCCGTTGAGACTGATACAGATGATGGTTGTCCCTATGGGTTGGACTAATGGGGTAGCCGTTTTTCAGAGAGCCATGGTAGCCGTCCTCAAGGGCTTTATTCCTGACAAGGTTGAAGTTTTTCTGGATGACTTCCTATAAAAGGACCAATGAAGAAAGATGAGACAGAGGTCGTGCCAGGAGTTAGAAGATTCGTCGAATAGCACCTAACCGATATTTGCGCGATACTTGAGCAGCTGGACGATGCAAATTTGACGGTCAGCGGAACAAAGAGTCGGTGGGCCGTCTCGACTATTAAGATCTTAGGCTTTATCTGCGACTCAAAAGGACGCCGAGCGGATCCTGCAAAGCTAGACAAACTCTTAAATTGGTCGTCGCCGTTGCATAGCGCTACCGAGGTCCGTCAATTCCTGGGAGTGGTCGGTTACTCGCGGATTTTCATACTTTGGTATGCGGACAAGGTTGAGTCATTGAGGGTACTCCTTCAGAAGATTGAGAAGTTCTACTGGGATTCTTCTCAGGAACTCGCTATGCAAGAGCTTAAAGATGAATTTAAGGAGGGAGGGCGCGTACTAGGCGTGCCATTCTTTGATGATGAGGCTGGGAGACCCTTCATAGTATCCACGGATGCTGGACCTTGTTCAGTTGGTGGGCTGCTGTCTCAAAAGGACGCTGAAGGGAAGGAAAGACCGTTAAGATTTGAGAGTAGGACACTTAATACGGCTGAGCGTAACTACAGTCAATTCAAGAAGGAAGTGTTAGCTGTTCTGCGGTGTCTAGACACGTTCAGACACTATATCTACGGACGAAGGTTCATCTTAAGAGTAGATCCCACAACGGTTGCCTCTGTCGTCTAGAAGGACTTTAGTCTGACGGACCCGACCATCGCACGATGGTTAATACGGATTCGACTCTATGATTACACGGCGGGGTAATCGGAGGTCATAGAGGAGTCAAAGGAACCTACGAAAAAGTACGCAGACTATGCTGGTGGAAGGGACAGTATAAGGACGTCGAGAGATACTGTATAACCTGCGAGGATTGCCAGAAGAGAGCTCTTGTGAAATACAAAGAGCCACTTCATCCATCCTACCCGACCAGGCCAGGAGAGAAGGTACACATCGATCTGGTGAAGATGTCCAAAGGAGTAGGCAATATGAACTATGTTGTGAACATACGAGACGACTTCACTGGATTCGTGGATGGTAGACCTATCAAGAGTAAGTCAGCTAGGGAAGTGAAAAACTTCGTCATAGAGTACTTATCTAGGTATGGTTGTGTCAGCAAGATAGTGATGGATAGAGGGGCAGAATTTCTAGCCGACGAGGTTCAGAGTGTGTTCAAGAGAGCCGGGGCGAGAGTTTCGATAGCCACCGCCCACCACCCACAGAGGAACTCTCCAGTAGAAAGGGGACACAAGACTCTGATAGCGTCACTATCCAAGTGGTGCAAAGGTAAGGACAACGATTGGCCACGATATCTTCGATACACAATATGGGTGGACACCGTCACGGTCCGGGCTAACACTGGATACCCACCATACACGTTGTGGTTCGGGCAGCAATGTCCTCTCCCCATAGAGTTTCACGTCGACAGCTGGACAACCGTCGACTGGGCGGAAAGGATGTCCAGAGAGGAACTCATAGCTGCCCGAACAAGACAGATAGCCTACGGTTTGGAAGACAACCTTATGACAGCGGCAGATCGTCTGGCAGTGGAGAGGGACAAAGGTAAAGAGAGATGGGATAAGGGCGTGCAGATCAGGAAAGAGAGGGTGAGCGTAGGAGATATGGTCCTTCTCTACGACGCAGCACTGGAAAGGACCTGGACCGGAAAACTCGCCAACAGATGGATGGGACCTTATAGAGTGGTTGAGGTGCTCGACTGGGGTGCCTATATGATAGCAGAATTAGACGGATCCAAGGGGAAGCGCCTAGTGGCGGGTGCTAGGTTAAAGTTGTTTAGACCCAGGCCTGCACCCACCTTATCGCTAACAGGCCCGAAAGGGAAAGGCAAGACCAAAATAGAGGATGGAGCCTCCTCGAGACGATTCGAGGCAAGGGAAAGTTCCAAGAAGAGGAAAAGAGTGGAGAGAAGAAAGGTCAAAAGATTGGCATTAGGAAGAGAGAAGAAATGGTTATTCGTGCTCGAGAGGGCAAGACGGAGAGTTCACATTAGACAAACAAGTGGGTCGGCACTTTTCTCAGGCCAACGTTAGAAGGAAAAGAGAATCCAACCCAGGCCAAAATCCCGAAGGAAGAGGAGATTCAAGAAGCATCTTCTTAGCCCCAGAACTCATAACAAACTGAGACATAATACAATTAAACGCCGACGTGGGCGTCCTTTACGGGCAATCGAGAAGAGGTTCAGTTAACTGTTAGGCGGCCACAAGGGATGGGCCGCCTGAAATCCGCGGCTTTGGGGACTTAGGCCCAAGGACAAGTCCGTGTTTTGACGGTACTCTTGCTTGACCAGGGGGCAAAAATTAGGGGTACTCAGGACACCCCTGATTTTGAGCGCACTAAACCTTACGAGTAACCCTAAAAAACGCAGAGGGCTGACCACTGTCCCAGGGCGTTGGCGCCTGTGTGCTTTCCGTCATTTTGAGCCTACTAGCAAAACGGCTACTCGCGGGAGGCAGGCGCAACAACAGGCCTCGGATCGGCGCTTTTATCCAACCCTACGGGTGGCGTAGTGCGGCCTAAAAATTTCGTTACTTGTGATAGCAAATCTAGAAACGAAAGGAAAGCCGAGGAAGAGGGAAACGCGAAGAAAAGCGAGATATTCGGTACATTACCAAATTTCTGTTGTATATGATTGTATATTAAATTTTCCTTTTATTTGTTATTGCCTGCAATGAATTCAAAAATAATGGTAATGATTCGAGCAATTAGAAGGATAGGAAAACAAGGAAATTTCTGCAATTCCTCATGATCCCCTCAGAATCCAATTTTTGTAGAATAATGATATTTTGCTATTTCCTGATAATAGAATAAAAAAAGAGAGAAAATAATTAAAAATGATAAAAGAGGCTATAATTTAAGATTATTAGAGGTCTGATACAATTTTGTCTAGATTATGCGCTGTCGGCGCTCGAATCAGATTACTTGTTTTTCTCATTTCCAAGCAATTTTTTTTAATTTTCGATAATCATGATTCCCCGCGTCACTTACCTGATTTTTCTTGATCACTGACCTTACTTACCGAGTGTACGAGAAGGAGAGGGTCGCATGGTCAGCATGGGACGGTAATATCTGCGTGCGGCGCCGATGTCTGGTTCGAGGTTCGGCGACATCCATGTTTTTCAGCATTGTACGACGACCAGCAAACTTCAGGCTCGGTAACGGTTCGACGTCGACATGGTACACTACTCGGCACCATTTTCAGGTTCGGTGTTGCCCCTAGACCGACATGTTTCAGGTTCGGAACCGTCACGGTGATTTATTTCCAGGCTCGGAGCCACAATGGCCGTTTATTTCAGCATCAGAACAAGGCTTGTCGAGCCACTTTCCCGGCCCACCTAATTACTACACTCTAACAGTCCGAGGATGACCGCATGGACGGCGAGGGATGCTGCTACTTTGGACCGACAGTAATGGCCTCTGTATTTGGCTCGCTACGGACGCATGGTTCACAGAGGTTCGGTTGTGATGCGGAGCGGCTGCATCCTACGGTATCCGACGTGTTTCTGGTTCGGTATCGGCTCGACGTCAGTTTGTTTCACGCTTGGGGACGCTGTGGTGATTTATTTTCAGGCCCGGAACCACCACGGTGGTTTATTACAGGTTCGTAACGACTGCCGTGATTTATTATCAGGTTCGGAACCATCACGGTGGTTTACTTTCAGGACTCGAACTACTGTGTCAATGTATTCCAGGTTCGGAACCTTGGCGGAAATTTGTTTCAGGCTCTGCGGTGACTGGCCCAGGTTAGGCACTGATTGAGGCGCGTGACACGCACCATTTTTAGGCTGGGTTCGCGTTCTGCAACGAAGTGACAGGGTTCGGGCTACCCCGGTATTCGGCATCGATCTGGTATACTCCGCTGCATATCTCGGCTTCGGTGTGCGGTGTCGGTTTGACGCACTCCACTACATGTCTATCGTTCGCTACATTCTCAGGTTCCGAATTGATGCTGGATTGCGTTTTTTTTTACGGTCTTCGACATAATTCCTAGCTAATACTGCCCACGACACGTTGTTTCGGCTCAGCTCCCATACCGACACATCTGATTTAGATTTCTCGGTATGACCCTGAGACGCCATGTGCGACCTGTCAACGTCGCGGACCAGGCACAGGAGGCTATGGGATGACTCGATTACCGTGTCGGGCCGCCTATTTGTTATGCGGGGGTTGGCCGCGTTACTGCTACTAGGTTGATAATTCAGGCCATCTGAGATTCCTGCGACCCGACCTAAATTTTGTGTGCCTGCACAGGGATGCCTTTGGACTGCAGAGGCCCCAGGGCATACGAAAGGGGCAAAGAGTCGGAGTACCGGGCCCGGATCGGGGCGAGATGCAGGTGGGACAAGGGTCTGTGGCCTCCCTGTGCGCAGCTGCCGGGCGGTTGAAGGGGAGCAAGGGCGGCCGCGCAGCAAATTCGGTCACGCCGCAAATACAAGGGAAGCAAGGAATATAGGAGAGGGTGGAAGGGCCGACAGAAAGAGGAGGAGGGCATTCGGTGCGTGCACGGTGTGCGCAGCGCTAGTCGGGAAAAGTTAGTTGGCGAGGGATTGGAAGCGTGCACGCGTGCCCCGCCTGAGCTCGTAGTTCGAAGGCAGTTGCAGAGCTCTGCAGCTAGTCGGGCGAGGAGAGGTGTGAGTGCTCGGGCGGGGAGTGACTAGCGTGTAAGGCGACTACATCGACCCGTTGATGTCGGGGAAAGCTGGCTTATTGGGGAAAGACGCATGTTGTGGTAGGAGGTAGCGAACCTGCTCGTTGGTGATCGGGGAACAGTGGAATCATAGGCGGCTCGGGCAAGGCAAGCCCAACTGCTCTCTCGCACTTGCTGGGAGAACGGGCAGGGCGCGTGCGACCTTCGAGTGAAGGGTGAGAACGGGTTCAGCGGCGTGCTCCCCCTCCTTGAGCTTGGCGAGGGTTCCCTTCGTGGGACTAAATATATGCACGACCTCGCTCACTGCTGAGTCGGCCCGGTGAGCACGGGGGGGG